CAGGGGATGGTGGAGAATGACCCAGGACAAACCCGGTCCCATGGGCCTGCTCCCCTGGGAACTTTCCTGTCCCCAGGCCCTGTGGTGTTAAGTCTCCTCGTGACAGCACGATGGCCCTTCCTCTCACTGACACGTGTCAGCCAGCATCCCACAAATGAACAAATGATCACTCAGCTTCTCTCACTCTTGAGTTAGACATTCAAACAAGAGTTCTTCCAACTCTAAGACTTTGGCAATACTCCAAGATAAATAAGACTTAAAAAAAAATAAGGTTCTAAATTGCTAAGAGACTAGATCCTGACTGTTCTCAACACACAAAAGAAGATGATAATTATGTGACAGATGGAGGTGGCCAATGAGGCTACAGTAATCTTATTGTAACACACAAATGCATCAGACCATTTGTGCATCTCGAACTCACACAGTGTTACATGTTGATTGTGTGCTGCTCTGTCACTTCAGTGGTATCTGACTCTGTGCGACCCCATGGACTGTAGCCCACCAGGTTCCTCTGCCCATCGGATTCTCCAGGCAAGAATAATGGAGTGCATTGCTAAGCCCTTCTCCAGAGGATCTTTCTGACCCAGGGATCGAACCTGTGTCTCTTATGTCTCCTGCATTGGCAGGGGTTTCTTTACTGGGTTCTATACTGTGAGCGCCACCTGGGAAACCCATATATTGATTATATCTCAATTTTATTTTATTTTTTTTTAAAGAAGAAGAGAGGTGGGCTCTGGGGTCAGAAGGCAGGGCTCTGTCCTGACTACTTGCTGGGGCCCTGGACATATTTCATAACTTGATGAACCTCAGCTTCCCGCATTGATTGGCTTGGTAATGCTAGGAGTGCTACCTTTTTGGGCTATTATGAAGATTGAGAGTCTGAATGTAAAATGGTCAGCACAGCATATGATACAGAAGTGCACAGTTGACATTACTATTTCTATTACTGATACTGTGAATGACATTAAGAAAGGAAATGTCATAGAAGGACCTTCTTGACTCAGAGAGAGTATATTCTGGTCGAACTCAGGTGAACAACTGCACACCTTTTAGGAGCATGTGATGCACACACTCTCAACGATGTCACTTTCTAGGACTTAGTCCAGTTGCACACATGCTGTGATGCCACTCACAGCGGACAAAATCCTAGGTCCAGGTGCTCCCCTACAGAGGAGGGGAGGCCCGGGGACCATGCCGCCACCCCACCCGCTCTGCCTGTGGTTCACAGGCGGAGCAGAGGCTGTGCCCATGGTTAGCCCCTCAAGGAGATCTTGCTGCTGGGGCAGGGGCTGGAGTTAAGCACTAATGGAAGCTGGAACTTTGAATGTGAGGTTCACTCACGGTGAGAACTGCTCAGCTCTTCCTGGAGTGTTGCCTCGTTTTCACAAAAATGACTCGGAAAGTACAATTTTAAATTTATCTCCTATCTTATCCACCTTTCCCAGACATCTAGGCCATTGGGTCACTACATCCTAGGTCCTGCTTGGGTGGCAGTGTCACCACCTGGGAGGCTTCATGGGCTGGCTAGACCCGAGGCTTGGAACCACCAGGTCTAAACTGAAGGTGGTGGCCGTGGAGGTCTCTAGGCAGGTTGTGGCTAGGCCCGTTGTGTTCCCCCACCTTTATTTCTGTCTCAGCCTTGGTGAGTTCAAATATGTCTGTGGGTGTCAGAGTATAAATTGGTGCTCGCCAATATGCTTCTGAAATTTTGAGTGAATGCTGCTGTCTGACATTGTATGTGTGTATGCGTGCATGCCAAGTCACCTTAGTTGTGTCCAACTCTTTGTGACCCTGTGGACCATAGCCCTCCAGGCTCCTCTGTCCATGGAATTCTCCAGGCAAAAGTACTAGAGAGAGTTGTCATGCCTTCCTCCAGGAGATCTTCCCGACCCAGGGAGCAAACTTGCATCTATTATGTCTCCTGCATTGGCAGGTGGGTTTTTTACCTCCAGCGCCACCTGGGAAGCCTGTATATGTGTATATTCAGATCCAGATTATGGAGAATACTCTCCAAATGTGACACCCCTTGTGTTAAGGGGAGAATTCCTAAATAAGTCAGATGATCCAGGGCAGAGGGAACTTTTGTTGAAAGCTTCTGGGGTTTAACAAATGATCAAGAAGATGCTAGCCTGGTGCTTTGTTTTCAACATCCATAAGGTCGGCAAAGTGTCCAGCCTGACCCTGGCCTTGTTGGTTGAGCTGTGGAGTGGTCAGGCCGCCAGCCCCTGCCCTGTGGGGGAGGGGTGGGGCTGCGGAGTGGACAGCTGGCCTCAGCCTCAGATTATCCCCTGGGTGTGACCTGAACAGCTGCCACAGAAGCAGGCTGCCAGGGGTCACCACGTTACTTCTGCTTAGTTTGGTCTAATTTGCAGCAATAAAATTTCCGCCAGAGCATGTGCTGCATGTGGGGTGAGGGGGGATGGGCACTGGTGACATCTGTGTCCGGGGACCCAGGCTGGACCGGCTCTGCCTCTTCTCTATCCAGACACATTCTCTGTACAAGCGTCATACTGCAGACAGACGCTGGCGTTGAGGCTGGCCTTCAGGCCAGCTGAGCCCACATGAATTGAGGTGTGCGATCCTGGCCCCATGGGAGGGAGAGCATCCATCTGTGCATGGTTCAGGGTACAAAGAGTCCCTCCCGGGCTTTCCTGGGCCTACTGGCTACTGGCTGCATGAGGGAGGGCAGTGGCCACAGGAAAGGACCCAGCACCAGGGGGTGGGTGGTCCATCATCCTGCAGAGTGGCCTTGTGCTTGCCTGCATGGCCCCTCAGCCACCTACTGTCAGCTTGAGGGAAGCTCAAAAAGCCCAGTCATTCAGTCATGTCTGACTCTTTGCAATCCCATGGACTGTAGCCTGCCAGACTCCTCTGTCCATGGGATTTTCCAGGCAAGAATACTGGAGTAGTTTGCCATTTCCTTTTCCAAGGGAAACACCCCTAAAATTAATTTCATTCGAGAACTCCTCTCCACCCCCACCCCCGACCCCAGCTTCCATGAGGAGGGTGTCACAGCTGTGGTCATCTTCCTTACTTCAGTGCCTCTTGAACTGGAGTTGCATCAGATTCCCTTGGAGGGTTTGTTGGGGTTAGGGTTAGAGTAACAGATTACTAATAGAGTAATGCTCAAAATTCTCCAAGTCAGGCTTTGACAGTACGTGAACTGTGAACTTCCAGATGTTCAATCTGGATTTAGAAAAGGCGAAAAAACCAGAGATCAAATTGCCAACATCCATTGGATCATCGAAAAAGTAAGAGAGTTCTAGAAAAACATCTATTTCTGCTTTATTGACTATGCCAAAGCCTTTGACTGTGTGGATCCAACAAACTGTGGAAAACTCTTCAAGAGATGGGAATACTAGACCACCTGACCTGCCTCCTGAGAAATCTGTATGAGGGTCAAGAAGCAACAGTTAGAACTGGACATGAAACAACAGCTTGGTTCCAAATCAGGAAAGGAGTACATCAAGGCTGTATATTGTCACCCTGCTTATTTAACTTATATGCAGAGTACATCATGAGAAATGCTGGGCTGGAGGAAGCACAAGCTGGAATCAAGATTGCTGGGAGACAAATCAATAACCTCAGATATGCAGATGACACCATCCTTATGGCAGAAAGTGAAGAACTAAAGAGCCTTTTGATGAAAGTGAAAGAGGAGAGTGAAAAAGTTGGCTTAAAGCTCAACATTCAGAAAACTAAGATCATGGCATCTGGTCCCATCACTTCATGACAAACAGATGGGGAAACAGTGGAAACAGTGACAGACTATTTTGGGGGGCTCCAAAATCACTGCAGATGGTGACTGCAGCCATGAAATTAAAAGATGCTTACTTTTTGGAAGAAAAGCTATGACCAACCTAGACAGCATATTAAAAAGCAGAGACATTATTTGCCAGCAAGCTCCAACTATTCAAAACTATAGTTTTTCCAGTATGTATGGATGTGAGAGTTGGACTATAAAGAAAGCTGAGTGCCAAAGAATTGATACTTTTGAACTGTGGTGTTGGAGAAGACTCTTGAGAGTCCCTTGGACTGGTAGGAGATCCAACCAGGCAATCCTAAAAGAAATCAGTCCTGAATATACATTGGAAGGACAGATGCTGAAGCTGAAGCTCCAATACTTTGGCCACCTAATGTGAAGAGCTGACTCATTTGAAAAGACCCTGATGCTGGGAAAGATTGAAGGCGGGAGGAAAAGGGGTCGCCAGAAGATGAGATGGTTGGATGGCATCACCAACTGGATGGACATGAGTTTGAATAAGCTCTGGGAGTTGGTGATGGACAGGGAAGCCTGGCATGCTGCAGTCCATGGGGTCACAAAGAGTCGGACACAACTGAGTGACTAAACTGAGATGAACTGAACTGAACAGTTTACCCTGCCCATGCCCAGGGTTTCTGATTCAGGAGCTCCAGGTGGGGCTGAGAATTTGCATTTGAAGCAAGTTCCCAGGTGATGGGGGTCGGGGGGACACCTGGGGACAAACCCCTCCTGGTGTCTGGGCTGTGAGACAGATTAGGGTTGCAACCCCACCCAGTGTCCCATGGAACCTGGCTTTATGGTCCCTGACAAAGGGCTTGTGGTTAAATAAATGTGGCATTGTGGCAGGTCCATACCTCTTAGACATTCCTGATACACTGAAGTGAAGTGAAGTGAAAGTTGCTCAGTTGTGTCCAACTCTTTGTGATCCTATGAACTATACAGTCCATGGAATTCTCCATGTCAGAGTACTGGAGGGGGTAGAATTTCCCTTCTCCAGGGGATCTTCCCAACCCAGGGATCAAACTCAGGTCTCTCTCATTGCATGCAGATTCTTTACCAGCTGAGCCACAAGGGAAGCCCAGATACACTGATGGGATACAAGCTTTTTTTTTTTTCTGATTTATTTGTTTTATTGATGCCTGGATGCTCAGTCCTTGACTGGGAACTTCCAGAGAAGGTTCAGCGGCTCCTTCTGCTGCTGCTTCTTGGTCTTCAGGTTCTTTTCATGCTTGTTGAGTCAGCGGTGTGTGGTCTTGGGCCACGGATCCAGGGCCTTGCACTTCTTGTCCTTATAGAATTTCCTGAGGTTCTCTTTCTGAGTCTGGTTAATGACGGTCAATACATGGGTGATGGATTTATGAACAACTCGGGTCTTGGAGAGTTTGGAAGCCACGCTGCCTGTCACTTTAGCGATGTGCCGCTGGGACGGCTCTACCTTCAGTTCCTCTTCCTGTTTCAGCAGCTGCTCCTCCTTCTTCCTGTGAAGGCTTCCAGCCTTAATCCTGGCCATGGCTGTACAGTCTGCCTCTCTGCTGCCTTCTCAGAGGGAAAGAAGGGGTAAAAGCTTGGATGAATCCTGCAGGGTGGCACCAGGCTTCCTTTCACCCCACATTCCCCCAACCTATTTAAATATGGGGCACATCTCTTGCACCATCCCTTCTACCTGGAGTAGGGTTCCATGAGGCATTAGTTTAAGAAATGGATCCAGAGCTTTATTTGTCTCCTGAGATTCTGTGTAGTCTGAAGGTGGGACAGAGCCCCTCACCCTCCATTCACGACGTGTCCCCTGCTTAACCTGCCAGGATGAATCTGACTTTGTGAGGCTGTGTTTGGGGGAGACGTGTAGGCTGTTCCTGGGCACCTTCCAGGCTCTTCCTCACCCCCTTCCATGTCTGCCTCCTTGACTTTGGAGGGCTCCTGATATAGGTTGCAGGAAGAGGGAGGTGGGAATGATCAGCATGGTTGGGGGTGCTCGGTAAAATTTCAGGGCCTCCTGTACTGTGGGCTTGCGGTGGTCAGAGCCTCTGTTCTGTCCAGCCCCAGCCCCAGTCCACGTCCACTTCCTTGAGTATAGAATGTGCTCACTAATGATTATGGCCAATGATCCTGCCTGCCCATCCTCCTCCGGGTTAAAGCATAGCTGGCCTTTGGTGAGACCAGTGAGGACTGCTCCGGGGCATATGGATCTTATTTAGGAAATGCTTCCTGATCCTGTGGACTGCCGGTGGAAACCCCATCAGCGGTGGGACTCAGGGGCCTGGTGTTTTCCCACCATGAAAGCAGGGCAGGCATCTGGGCTCGGGGGTGGGCTGACCAGCACCCTGGACCACACTGGGTTCCCAGCGCTGGGGAGGGCAGTAGCCCTGCAGTGGAGAGTCGAACTTTCTCAGAGTCCTGCTCTCAGCAGCCTCCTGGACAGGCCATTCTCTGTACCCCCTAGGGTTTCTGGGTCATTAGGGTCCCCAAATGGGGTTGTGCTTCTGAAGTCGGCAGGGTCCTCCAGACTGCCTGGCAGAGCACTGGATTGGGGGGGGTGGTCTATAGTTGGGCTGGTGGGCTTTATGTTGCAACAATCGTCTCTTTGTCTCTCTCTCTCTCTCTCGCTCACACACACAATTGTCCACATGGTCACTCAGGCTGGTCCTGTGCCCTGGAGGCCATGTGTGGGGGTGGCCTTGGTGATCAGGCCACTAGGTTTTCCCTTCCAGCAATGACTGGGGCAGGATGGCTTTGCAGGAGGAGAGGCCTCCGTGTGGCCCCGGGCCTGCTGGCTGTCCGGGGCCTGCTGTCAGTGTGACCACTTCTCCTGCCCCCACTATCTTTGCTGGTGAAATGACAAGGTCTGAGGCCCCCAGGGAGCAAACACATCTGTTTCTGCTATTAAACGCACTGCGCTGGGTGGAAAATTCCTTTTGTTTTTCAAGGAATCCTAGGATAATGTGACCCATGCCTGTAATATGTTGAGGATAGGTTTTATTTGGGATGGTCTGAATATAGTTCAGAAATTGGTACCTTTTGGAAGCACGTGTGTGCCAAGCTGAGCAGGATCTGAAAAACGTGGGGCCCAGTTGTACAGATTCTAGTCCCCCTCTGGTCTTAGGTGTTAAAGCCTGATTCATTCAAGGGTGGAATATCCCCAGTCATCAGCTCGTTTTGCTGATAGAGGGAAATGCTGTGTATATTTTCTGAGATAAGCTGGGTGGATTTTGTCACATTTATGATCATATAGCATGGGTTCTCTCTCTCCTTCCCTTTTAGAATTCCTTCCTTCTTCCATTCACAAGCTTAGAAACTGTCTTGCAGCTTTGGAGAGGCTGGCCCTGGGCTGGGTGTGGCAGGTCCCTCGCCTTCCTGTGGCCCAGAGGGGCCATCTCCTCACCTACCTCTCCTTGCATCTCCCTTCTTCCTCTTTCCTGGGTCTGGTCTATGTCACCACCTATGATCTCCAAGACTGAGAAGCAGGGATCCCTGTCTTTTTGGTACAGAGGGAATTCCTTTCCCATCTGAAATGAAGCAGACACTTTCTCTCACTCCTCTAGTGCCTCTCATGGGGACAGTGTGTGAAGATGTGATCCGGGGTTGTGTGAAGATCAAAGGCCAACCACATCACCCTTGTGATGGAGATATCACCAAGAGGGAAGGAAGGAGGCCAGGAAACCCTCTCCCCTGAGGCGGAGCGGGGGGACTTGGCTGACTTGGACTGTGCCAAGTCTCACCAAGCAGTGTGGGAGGGGAGGGGTAGGTTCAGGAGGAGTAGGTGTGCGTACTCAGTCGTGTCTGATTCTTTGCAATCCCATGGACTGTAGCCCGCCAGGCTCCTCTGTCCATGAGATTCTCTAGGCCAGAATATTGGAGTGGGTAGCCATTCCCTTCTCCAAGGGATCTTCCCAATCCAGGGATTGAACCCATGTCTCCTGCATTGGCAGGTGGATTCTTTACTGCTGAGCCATCTGGGAACCCTTAGGAGAAGCAGAGGTGACCGCAAAATGTGCTGAGAGTTGGGGGACAGCAGAGGCTGCTGGACTGAGTGGGGAGACGATGGTGGAGCAGCAGGAGCTGAACCCCGGCCCCAGGCCAGCGTCTGCTCTTTATCCTCCTGGTAAGACAACTTCGGAGGTCTCTTCCTCATTTGTCTTCATTTCCTGGGGGCAGCGTGTGTGTTTTTCTCCCATGGGGAGGAGTCTTCAGCTGGGACTGCTGAAGGTAGGTACTGCTTAAATAGATTGTCTTGGAAAAGAAGGGTCAGCCCCTGCAGGGATTCAGGACAAAGGGAGGAGCTGAACTCCTGTTCAGACCCTCGGAGTTGAGTCACCTGTTGTGGAGGCTGAAAGCATCCTAGAGAAGGAGCGGTTCCCAGTCCCCTTGACCAGAAACCATGCCTGTTCAGCTGTGGACTTCCCTGGCAAAATGGAAATACACCACCCAGGGTCCCTTCTGGGCTATTAAAATTTAATGTTAAAGTTTAATGGGGGGAATTCCCTGGTGGTCCAGTGGATGGGACTCTGTGCTTCCAATGCAGGGGGCACAGGTTCAATCCCTGTTTGGGGAGCTAAGATCCTGCATGAAGCGCTCCCCTAAAACAGATTAATAAAGTTTAATGGGATGGGGGGGGTCCAGAGGAACTATTAAAATGTCCTATCTATCCAAATACCAAGGGAGGGATGTGAATGTATGATCCCTAACCACTGTTCTCAAGTTGAAGAGCTTGGATTTGCAGCTGAATCAGCAGAACGTCCTCATTCGCACTAGTTACTGTGCTGTCTAAACTTCTGAATGACCCTCAACATCTCCCCACAGAGCACTCATTAACTGGGAAGTGTAAAACAGTGATTTAACATTGAAGAAACCTGGTCGACTCCACCGTGACCAAATAATCACCAACACGGGACCGAGAATAAGAACAGACCAATGCGAGCACGTGCTGACACCTGCCCGGCAGAAGACATGACATCACGACTTGCAACCTTTGAATTGAATTATGAGGGAGCATCAGATAAACCTTAGAGGCTGAATTCTTCAGATGTCGGGGTCGAAAAAAAGTCCATGGCACTAAACAGACTCAGGAATGATCTCAGACTAAAGGAGACTGAAGAGCTGAAACAAGCAACTGTGCCGAGATCCTGGGCTTCCTTTGTCATACAGGACATAGTGGAGGCAATCCACAGAATCGCAGAATCATACTGCGGTCTGTGTATTGGATGCTTCAAGTCTATCAATGTTATTAATAACTTTCTGATTTTGATTATTTTGCTGTGGTTTATGAAATCAGGGCAACATCTTTGTAGGAAATATTGACATATACAGTGGTAAAGAGACAGTGAGCCTGAGGCTTACTCTCAAGTGATTCAGAAAAATATGTATAATTGAGGAAGAGATAAAAGGATAAAACAAACTTAGTGAAATGGGGGAGCCGACTGAAGGATACACAGGAATACTTTGTTCTACTATGCTTGCAACTTTCCTGTGTCTGAATTTTGGTCAAGATTTTAAAAATTTAAAAAGATTTCTAAAACACAGGTACTGAAGACAGCTTATGTCTCTCTCTAAGATATCAGTCTGGGTCTACATGGCCAGGTGGGGACCCAGGACTGACCCTATGCTGCTCTGTCACAACCTGGACCACAACCACAGGAAGGGAAAAAAAAAACCTTGAAGCAGAAAGCAAGCAATTACTGTCTGAGCATGTGACATGCAAGTTCACACTCCATTGGCCGGAGCTGGATCAGGTGACCAAGCTGTGTGCTGTGCTGGGCTCAGCCGCTTAAACGTCTGACCCTTTGTGACCTCATGGATCGTGGCCTGCCAGGCTCCTCTGCCCATGGAATTTTCCTGGCAAGAATACTGAAGCAGGTCTCCATGCCCTCCTCCAGAAGATCTTCCTGCCCCAAGGATCAAACTTGCGTTTCCTGCATCTCCTGCACTGCAGGAGAATTCTTTACCCCTGAGTCACTGGGGAAGCCCCAGGGAGATCAGAAATTTGCCGTCCGCAAGGGAGATCTTGTGCAAAGGTGAAACGCTATTCCATGGAATAAGGGGGAGCAGACTTGAGGGGACTAGCTGTCTTCCCTTTTCTTTAATTCAGAGGTCATTTGGCAAATGGCCATGGCCCTGGTGAGTCTTGAGGTTGTGCATCCAGTTCAGAGGTCCCACACCTCACGCTCAACGCTGGCCTCTGCTGGGTGCCTCAAACATCCCAAACACATTGGAGTCCAGAACAGCTCCTTGCTCGCCGGGGTCTTCCTGTCTTTCCCCCTGTGCTGCCCCGCCCACCTCTCAGAGCCCTCCTGGTGTTCCTGCTGTCTAGAAGGCCGGTAAGTCCCCCCACACTCCACGCATGCCGCTTGACCTGATTCACATCCATCACTCTTGGCCAGTGTCTCCAGAAGCGCATTGCATAGCTCTATGCCATGGGCGTCACCGTGATCTTACTAAAATGTGGGTGCTCAGTTTGGAGGGCTGGGCAGGGTCTGAGACTCTGCTCTCTGACAGACTCCTGAGGGAAGCTGATGC